GGGTAAACGGGTTGAAATCCCCGTCAGGAGCCCCGTCCTAGGTGGGGGTATAGTCCCGTTTACCCCCGTTTATCCCCCGCCCTAAGTGGGGCTAAACGGGGATTGTGCTGGCAGGGTGGATTCAGACGCAATACACAGGAGAATGTAAGTCACTGCCACGAAACATCAGGGACAGAAGTTACTCAAAAAATGGACAAGCTATTTCGGACAAATCTGAAAGCCGCAGCAGGGTACAGGGCTTCTCGACACTGCAGAATCATTAAATCTTATTATTTTAACATTTTTACGATGTCGTTCTGTCGAACTTCTCTGGGGAGTCTTGCATGAGAAAGTCCGTGTGAAATCTACAGAGAATTTTAGTCGATCAAAAAGGATATATTTATCTCCTACAGTCATTACACAAAGGCTTTTCAGATGAGGGTATTTTGTATTGCAGTCAATTCCTTACCTACTCCAACTAAATTTACGTTATTTGTTAAAAAAAAACTGTTCATTAAACGTTATTTCCAGTGCATGAACTAGTAGTGCAAGGATGCTCTGAGAGATAGTGGGAGAGACGTCGTACTTTGAAATAGACAAAATTTTCACGGGGAAAAAGAGCACGTCACCCACTGATGAAATCAACAATTGATACCAAAACTCCACTTTCTTTAAAAAAAAATTAGGGCGTGGTCAGGGCAACAAATCATGAGACTGGCAATAGTAAACAACGAGAGAAAAACAAATCAGTTTCGGTACTCCACCCGTCAAATTTAGAAAATTTGCCACGGGCGCATGAAGACGCGAAAAACAGCAACTTAGTCTCAGAAGGAATCATTTTGTGAAAATTGGATGAGTTTGTAAATGCTAGAGAGTAAAAGCTAGGGCCATTCTTCCGTACCCACTTCGCTCCCAGCAGGGACGTCGATTTGCGACGGAAGACTTGACTTCAACGAAAAATGTGAAAGGTCAGAAGGCCGGGAAGACTATTCAAACAGACGTTTTTCTACTTTATACAGAAATGAGGCCAAGAAGACCAATTCTATCGCGAGGTTCAGAAACAGTACACAGGAGAATGCAAGTCAATACCACAGAAGTTACTCAAAGCATGGACAAATTTTTCGAGCAAATTAAAGGTTAAAGAGTGACATCTGAAAGCCGGAGCAGGGCCTGGGGCTTCTCAAGTTTGCTGACAGCAGAAGTTCCTATTATTTTGACATTTTTACGGAGTCTTCCTGTCGAGATTCTGTAGGGGGGTTCGCAGGTGAAATCATGTCCAGGAGCTGGGGAATACTGTACTCGAACAATAAGGATAGATTTATCTCCAACAGTTATCACACAAAGGCTTTTCAGGCGAGGGTATTTTGTATTACGGTCCGATTAAATGCTATTTCCAGTGCATGAAGGAATGGTGCAAAGGTGCTCTGAGATAGAGAGAGGGGGGAGAGAGAACATATGCCTTTATATTGGGATAGGCAACAATTTCAGAGTAAAAAGAGCACGTTACCACTGAGTTAATTATCAGTTAATGACAAATCTTCATTTTCTTCAAAAACATGAGGGCGTTGTCTGGGCAACAAAGATTTGAGACTGATAATAATAAACAAAAAAAAATTCCTTCCGGTACTCCACCCGTCAAATCAGAAAATTTTCAAGGGGCGCATGAAGACGCAAAAGACTAAAACTTAGTCTGCGAAGGAATCATTTTGTGAAAAGTTGATGCGCTTGTAAAGCTTGGTACAGAACGAAGTGTGCGTTGACGGTATCACATATAGAATTTGAATTTTAGTATATTTTGATATTTTGAATAGAAAATTCATCCAAAGTATCAACGAAGAATGAGGGAATGTATACAATATGCACTAAAAGTATGTAGATTTGGTGAAGAAACGGATGAAAAAGACCGATGATCGGCTTTAGGATGAGCAATTCGGATAACCTCAAAAGTTGCGGAGTTAAGTTACTATATGAGTATGTTAGCTAAAAAAAAAAGATTATTCTTTTTACGCGGAAGATGTTTATAGCTTACTGGGGTTCCAATTAACTCACAAACAAGGAATCAACCAGAATGGGTACATCCTGAAGCAGATCGGTGTATAGTTACCTACTACAGCTTATTCTATTAAAGGAGCAATCGTAATTTTAGGTGTAGAATGCCCGGTTGCCTATATTCATTATAGCCGACCCCATCTTCGTATTCAAAGAGACAGAGAACTACTTTAAATGAGAACAGTCTATTTTTAAAAACTTTCGCCAAAAGAAGCTAGACTCTTCAGTCCACTTAAATCGGATCAGGCAAAATTTGAATGACCACGTCGTTTTTAGGAAGGTAAACGTTTTATACAAAAATCCTGTGCACTTTCGCGTTTTAAGACAGTTCAATGAAGATAGTTCTCCCTTCGTTTCATTGCATCTGTAAATTCTAGCGTACAACAATATTCCATAGGTGACCACAACATGGCCTCCAATCAAGCAGTTATTAAAACTCTTATGTACACTGTAGGACGGTTTTGTGCGATTCAATCTCAGTTATTGTGTGATTTTAAAAAGGCTTAGTTGCCAGGGTGGCCGCAGAAACAATGCATTAATATTCACACAGCCACCGTGCAGCGCATTTCTTTTTGCAGAGTTGGGCTAGGAGTTTAGCAAAGACAAAGCAACCGTTCCAAAATAATGACGAACAGAAGTTTATTCGTTGCCAGCGAAAACGGTTTCAGTATCGGCCAGGAGAGTGCATGAACGGATAAAATGCTTTAGGCTCCTCTGTAGCCTTGTTGTGAAAATAAAAATTCAAAAGACAAAAACCTTCAAAAACTGTCATCTTTTGTAACTTTTCACAAAGATCACGTATGCAACCCGAAAAGCGCAAGAAACTATTGGACCTTTTAAGGACTCAATGGACTCAAGGGTTGCCATAAAGTACATGATGACAATAGGTACTCAATATTTTCCTGAGGCTACATAAGTGGTGCGCCTTTGATTGCGTCTGCTAGTTACGTCTAATGTTCTCACCCACAGACCTCATGAAAAACTTCATTACCGTGACTCCTCAGATAAAATCATCTTCGCAATAGGAAACCCCATCACGAACCAGGAATACAGATTCCCTATTTTGCGTGCCATTGTGAAAAACTGTCGCTAAACATTAGGCTGGCTATCACACAAAACATCACATTACTTATTGAAGGATATTCAGCTAGATTATTGCATAAAAGGGTTTGTGAACGTTGTTGTGTTTCAGCTCTTTTATTTGCTCACTCATCCTCACGAAGGAGTATTACGAATTTATGCAAAGTAATTTTTGGCGTTTAACGTGAGCTTGCGCGTTTTCGGTATTTCCGTTTTTAAAAATGAAATCCTAATTTACTACAAAGGGAATATTACTCCTAATACCTCTCCCCCTCTTGGCTGAAGGCCGCTCGTTTTAAATGCGTGTTTTGATCAACGCATTCGGCTTGGTTTTCAAATACAGTAGTCGCCGGCTATTAAGCCACGGTTAATAAGCCCAGCCGCTTATTAAGCCCAATTTGGTCTGGGCCCGATGTGGGCTTCATAACCGGCGACTACTGTATTAAGCCCTCGGTTAATAAGCCCAGCCGCATATTAAGGCCCAATTTGGTCTGGGCCCGAGGTGGGCTTAATAGCCGGCGACTACTGTAATGGGCATTTGGCTGATGTGGGCATATCTCATAAGTCGGATCACCAACTGTGTGTGTGTGGCTCTTCTTGTGCGCAGATGAACTTGATCAACTTGCGGCAAAATATGATTTTAAACCCTTGCTTCCGGACATATTTTCGTATATCGCTGGCGAGGGCGACAGGAGCCCGGGTATGAGTCGCCGGCCTGTTAGTTGGCCGCAGGCTACACGGCGCGGTCACTGGTGGAAGAAAGGTTTCTGAAAGAGGCTAGCTACGAAATAAACAAACTTTTGGACATGACTAGTGAGCAGTTACAGAGAATGTCATGTTATTCTCAAACGAAGCTGAGCAATAATCCACCAAATCCGTTACTTATGTGAAAATTGTAGGCCATAAATGTATAAAACAATGGCGAATATTGCTCACTCTAAAACAGCACTTCACCACTCACCCTTTAGTGTAATTTGTGAAAGTGAAACCGAAAATTGGGCTTTTGAATGAAGATACGGTCACTAGCCGCGGGTTAACATGTATTTTAGACAACCGAAAGTCGGCGTTCTCCACATAATAGCCGGACCGGCTTAGAGTTACCAGGACCAAACAGAGCAATTTCTGTACGAAGCAATAATAGCACTCCACCGAATTGTAAAAAAAAACTTATTGATGGATTTTTGCGGAGTGTGGTACTAAAATAGAAACAGTTGACGATGTCGGAACAGCTGACGGCCTACTCGGGACAATAAAACTCTAACCAAAGTGCGTAACCGGCCATGCACGTCGAGGCGTTCTCCGCCTCTTTCCTTAAAAGTCTCCCTTGGGTTCAAAGGAACGCTCAAAGATGTTAGTCGCGGCTAATTTTTGATGGGTCCGGAAATTCGGGCGGTGTCCACTAGCTGGAGCAAAATGTTGTAACACAATAATTCTGCCTATCAAAAAGAAATATGGGTAGGGGTAATCTGCGTGCCCTCTCTCTCTCTCTCTCTTCCCCTCAGCCAAACAGGACAGTGAAATAGGAAAATCCCGTAATACAGGTGCAGCTGCGTTAAATTGTAGAATCTGAAAATCTGCCAAACCTCCTAATAATATCAGCCTAGTAGTCATTCTGGTGGATTCTAGATGATTGCTCAGGAAATCCTGTTTAAGCAG